CTGTTCCCAGCCTCCCCGGGTACAGTCACTGACCTGTTCTCAGCCTCCCCGGGTATTTCACTGACCTGTTCTCAGCCTCCCCGGGTACAGTCACTGACCTATTTTTTTCCGTCCTGGCACTTTCAGACAGTTTTAGATAGGTTCAGGATGTAGTATTGGCTTATCACTCCCTGAAGGAGGGGTCTTTGTATATCTTAGCCAATGATGTATCCAGGCCTGGCTCAATGTATGTGCACACAGTATTCTTGTTGAATAAATACATGAATTTATGTAGAAAGAAGCCATACTGGCTAAAAATAGAAATTATACCTAGAAGCAAAGCCATGCGTGGGCATCCGTGAAATCACATATAAAAGTATATGCCTGGGTGCCACACGTCTGCAGTGCCAGCAACTTGGGAGGCTGAGGCGGGAGGATCCTTTCTGGCCAAGAATTTGAGGCTGCAGTGAGGTAAGATCGGGCCACTGCACTGTAGCCTGGGGGACAGGGTGAGCCTCCATCTCTTAAAAAAAGGAGTCTGAATTCAAAAGTGCATTTTTCTGGGAAGAATGTGTATAATCTTTCATCAGATTATCCAAGGGGACCCCAAAGCAGCTGCAACCTGCTATTTTAACAAATTTCCAATTATACACACATATTTAGATACATGATAGAAATTTCCCCCATTGAATTATAAGATAAAAATAGTCTCCTGTGGCTCTCTTTCCAAAGAGCCTATCACTGGGATAAAGTTGCTAAGATGTTTACATGCATGCTAAGGTCCACGTAATCTGCAGAAAGTACCTCTTGCTAATTTTCCTTTATTGAGATGCTTAAAAAATGTCTAACCAGTGGCACATTTTCTGCAGGATAGTAGTAAATAGCAGAGAGTCTTACATGAATGGTATGAATGTCTCATGCATTTTTCAATTTATTCACATGGTGGTCCCTTGGCTGTAATTTCAGGCACTTGGCAGGAGAACAGCAGAGTGACTGTGTTGTAAGGACACTGTGCTGCCATCCTGCCTCCTTCACAAGAAGAGAAAAGAACTGAACCTGGACCTGGGCAGCCGTGTTAGACCAGGAAGGATTCTCATAGCAGGTCAAAATACAGAGTAACCCAGTCAGACCAGGAAGGATTCTCATAGCAGATCAAAATACAGAGCAACCCCATCAGACCAGGAAGGATTCTCATAGCAGGTCAAAATACAGAGCAACCCAGTCAGACCAGGAAGGATTCTCATAGTG